CCGGGCTACAGCGGCCGCGACTGCAGCGTGCCCACCTGTGCCCATGGGGGCACCTGCGCCACAGGTGGGTGACGAGCACCGACCTGGGGCACCTGGGGCATGGGGATCACCCACCTGTGCCACAGGTGGGTCACGGGCACCAGCCTGGGGCACGGGGATGGGGAACAAGGTGTCCCCAAGGTGTTCCCAACCCATCCCAGTGTCCCCAGGTGTCCCCAGGTGTCCCTCAGGGGTTTCCAAGGTGTCCCTGTCCCCCCCAGGTGCCCCCAAGGTGTCCCTGTCCCCCTCAGGTGTACCCAAGGTGTCCCTGTCCCCCTCAGGTGTACCCAAGGTGTCCCTGTCCCCCTCAGGTGTACCCAAGGTGTCCCTGTCCCCCTCAGGTGTACCCAAGGTGTCCCTGTCCCCCTCAGGTGTACCCAAGGTGTCCCTGTCCCCCTCAGGTGTACCCAAGGTGTCCCTGTCCCCCTCAGGTGTACCCAAGGTGTCCCTGTCCCCCTCAGGTGTACCCAAGGTGTCCCTGTCCCCCTCAGGTGTACCCAAGGTGTCCCTGTCCCCCTCAGGTGTACCCAAGGTGTCCCTGTCCCCCCCAGGTGCCCCCAAGGTGTCCCCAGCCCATCCCAGTGTCCCTCAGGTGTCCCCGAGGTGTCCCCAAGGTGTCCCTGTCCCCCTCAGGTGTACCCAAGGTGTCCCTGTCCCCCCAGGGGTCCCTCAGGGGTCCCTCAGGTGCCCCCAAGCTGTCCCCAGCCCATCCCAGTGTCCCTCAGGTGTCCCCGAGGTGTCCCCAAGGTGTCCCTGTCCCCCTCAGGTGTACCCAAGGTGTCCCTGTCCCCCTCAGGTGTACCCAAGGTGTCCCTGTCCCCCTCAGGTGTACCCAAGGTGTCCCTGTCCCCCTCAGGTGTACCCAAGGTGTCCCTGTCCCCCTCAGGTGTACCCAAGGTGTCCCTGTCCCCCTCAGGTGTACCCAAGGTGTCCCTGTCCCCCTCAGGTGTACCCAAGGTGTCCCTGTCCCCCTCAGGTGTACCCAAGGTGTCCCTGTCCCCCTCAGGTGTACCCAAGGTGTCCCTGTCCCCCTCAGGTGTACCCAAGGTGTCCCTGTCCCCCTCAGGTGTACCCAAGGTGTCCCTGTCCCCCCCAGGTGCCCCCAAGGTGTCCCCAGCCCATCCCAGTGTCCCTCAGGTGTCCCCCAGGTGTCCCCAAGGTGTCTCTGTCCCCCCCAGGTGTCCCCCAGGTGACCCCTCGCCTGGCAGGTCGCACAGCCACATCCTTCAAGGTCACCTGGGAACAGCCACAGCCTCCCCCGAATGGGTACAGAGTCACACTGGTGCCACTGGTGAGACTGGGAGGGACTGGGAGGGGATTGGGAGGCACTGGGAGGGGATTGGGAGGGACTGAGAGGGGATTGGGAGGGACTGGGAGAGCACTGAGGGGCACTGGGAATGCACTGGGAATGCACTGGGATGGCACTGGGAGGCACTGGGAGGCCCTGGGGGATACTGGTGTGTAATGGGGGGCACTGGGATGGCACTGAGAGGCCCTGGGGGAGGCTGGGG